GAGTACATTTGGGTGAGAAGTTGAGGAACTTTTTCTCCTCCCTCTTGACAGGAACCCACTGCCCATAGGGACTTCCCTTCCTGTCATCTTCTCTTCCTGGAGAAATTGATGGTTCTTTAACAATATGGCTCGCTGGCTTCTGTTGTACTGGCTTTGCCATTGTGTTCTGGAAAATAAATTACATTTGTTAAGCACTAGGAAGATAAAGATGTACAAAGAGGCAGCAACTTCAAGAGGTTTACTTGTATTGACAACACGCTTAACCAAACCAGAATGCTGAATAACCACCCCACCCCAGTTCTGCACTACCAAAGATGCAACTTTCAGTGTAAAACCGTATGCCAGAAACAAGAAGTTCACAGGCACTGAACATTATGAGCAGAAATGTCTACATCCACTTTAAACACCACTGCAGCACTGATCCAACTCCTTCAGGAAAGGAACTGTGAAACCCTTCAGGTGTTACCATGACTGAGGGGTTTGATTTGGCAGTCACTGCTGTGGAGACTGACAGAGCAGGGATCAATGATGGACGCCCACCTTTGGAAGCACACTTACATTAGGGCTGAAGGAGATGCTCCGTGCAGTTGCTCTCTCCATCCCACTTTTGGTTATGATTTCTATCAGTCCTTTGGGTTGCTAAAGAAAAGCACACAACACTTCAGTGGGAGGATACACCACTCTCTGCAAGTCAAGGCAGCCTTTAAAGTTAATAACTTTCCAGTAGTGTTGTTTCAGATATTTACAACAAAAGTAGCCAGAAGCTACCAAACGTGCCAACAGATCAGCACTGAGTTCAATCTGGCAACCAGTATTTTTAATCAAGGCCCTTGTGCCAATTCAAGGACCCGATATGACCTGATATCCATGCCCCCAGTTTTAAAGAGTGTTCAAATGATTCAAAGCATGGAATGCCATACAATGAAATGTAGTGTCAGAATAAGTCGCATGAAGTTCTGCACGTTAATCCTGCAGAGCTTTGGATAACAACAATAAACTTATCTGCAAGTGATGCAGGCCTCTTCTTCTGTACTCTCTCAACATCTGGAATATATTGCATATATTATGAAAGGGATGCCTGTACCGTTTGTCTAAAACCTTTAGCAAATTTACTTCCATTTGAAATAGCAGCACTGGACAGACGTAACGATTACTGTTGTTTTCTATTCAGTATGAATCAGATTAACACAACAGAACACAGTCAAACTAGAGCTCAGTTTAAGATGCTGAAGTTTCTCCCTCCCTTGAATTCACAGCAGCTACAGCCCACGAGACCCTTAATTACCAACAGATTTTCTTCATCATGTCTGGAACCATAGTCATGATTTCTATAAGACAGAAATAAAGCATGTAAAATGCATTGTGTGTTTGGGAATGTAACTTCTGGGAAATAGTTTATTACACATGAAAAGCTTTTAACTGTTAGAAAAGGAAAATTAAGAAGAAAGAAATAACAAGTTTGCTAAGGAGCCTCCTTGTTTTAGGTCGAGAAAAAAAAGAGTTTCTGTAATGAGCCATAAATTACTACCATCAAGAAGTTGGAAGAACTACAATTCTCTCCCCTTGCTAATGTTACAGCACCAGGGGAAAGCCTGCACGTAGCACTGAGCCACAGCACAGCCTGGGTTGGAAGGGACCTTAAAGATCACCCAGCTCCAACCCCAGCCGTGGGCTGGGTACCACTGGGACCCCATCCAGCCCGGCCCTCAACGCACTGCCCTTCAGAATCCAGTGTACTTGCAGTGAAAAGCAAAGTCTACAGTGGTTTCTACAGCACTTTTTAGCATTCTGGTAAACCTCAGTTCTTTGTTCAGGAGTCTGAACTTGTAATTGCCAACTCCCCAGTAAGGAAAAAAGAACCGTGGCACATCCATGCAGACCACAAGTCTCTAAGCGTTCACCTTCCCACTCACAACGCTCCAGTTCATACTTACCTCATCTGAATCCCCGGAGTCTTCGTGTTCTTTTTTAACATTGCTGCTCTCCTTAGCAGCAGGACGGATCTTCAAGCTAGCAGGCAAGACTATATTTTCTGTTCCCAGAGCTTTCGCAGCATTGGCCTTCGCAATTTCCAGAAGTTCCCTCTTTTCTGAAAGAAAAAGGTCATGGATTTTTAACATGAGGTACGGACACACTCAATCCAAACCTAAAACCTGCAGCTATTCTGCCTCTGCACTGAAGCATCAACTCAGATGGATTTTTGTCTCAACTGGGGAGATTTCGCTTCAGCTGAAATATACATATGCTCTGAACTGATTACTGCTTCCCCCCCCCTTGATACATTTTTTTATAGATGTACCAAGACTTCCTTTCCATTTGCTACCACCATTTATGCCCTATAAGGCAACTACAGGGACTACAACTTATCTAGTTCATAACAGCCCTGTTTTCAAGAGCTCGCACCCAGTCTCACAGTACCTTTCTCACTCAGGTGCAGAGGCGACCTGCTCCGAGACCTCGTTCGTGACCTGCTCCTCCAGCTCCTGTAAGCCTCAGGATACACCGTCCTCCCAAACCCGTAGCTTCTTCTGCCTCTCGAACGCGACCTGCTTCTTGAATAGGACCTTCTGTAGTAGGATCTGCCACGGGACCACGACCTGCTGCGCGACCTGTGCCTCGGAGGGCTGCGGCGGTACCTCCTGGAGTGGTACCTGCCCCTGTACCTCGTGTAGCCACGAGACCTCGAGCGGCTTCTGGAATAGGAACGGGAGCATCTTCTGTGCCTCCGGGATCTGCGCCTTCGATCCCTAGACCTGGATCTGGACCGGCTCCAGCTCCTGGAGGAAGCTGAAGAGGACGTACTGGAACTGGACTGGGAGCTGCAGGAGGACCGACTGGATGACCTTGAGGATGACCTATCGCAGCTTCTCTTGGATCTCAAGCCATTCTCTGTTTTCTTTGGTGAATTGAGAGTCAAATCATCCATGAAGTTGGCCATATCGCTGCTCTTCCTGCTCACCACTTTTTCCTTGCAGGTACTTTCAGAACTCGATTCTGTTTTTATTGTTGTTCTGCAATATCCGGTCTCTGTTCCTGGGCAGGGGAGAGAAGAGAAGCAAATTAAGAAGCAAATCATTTACATGCAGCAATTTCCATATACACCACCACCAAATATTACAACACACTGCACACAAACAAGAAGTTCAAGTTAAACGCTGACAATTTTTCCTGACAATTATCAGCATGTTTTAAGCATGACATTTTTAAGCAGCACCATTTCCTGCTCTGTGGTCAGACTTCTGGAACACGCTGCCCAGGAAGTGGTCAAGAAATGTTTACATCTTGTGCTGAAGGACGTGGTTCAGTGAGGAGATACTGGTGGTAGGAGGATGGTTGGACTGGATGATCTCAGAGGCCTCTTCCAACCTTGATTATTCTATGACTCTGTATGAAAGTTTAAGAAGGCTTTGGTGTAAACCATGAGTAGTTCTCTCTGGAATTCTGAAAGGTTTGTGTGGGCTTTAATATCCTTCACACAACTTCTGTTAAGGTGATAGTTAGTACTATTTATTTACCCCAAAGTTTTCAAGATATTCAAGCTCCCAACATTTCTAAGTGCAGGAGGTGCAAAACAGACATCTGCCTTCCAGGACAGAACAAACTTCATGCTTTACCTCCACAGCTCTATTAAGTAAGACCAATGACCACAAAACCACATCATACTACTGAACTACACCTGTAATGTCTTACACATACTACACACCCTGTGAAGAATACAGCCAAGAGACCAAAGGATGCGACTTCTTAAGGCAGCATATCAAAACAAGCTTCCGTGTTCAGTACACCTATATTATTAGTATTGTGTTAATGCACAAAGATTGCCACCTTGGATTCACTGCTTAGTGACAATAAGGGCTATCAAGACATCTATTAGAGCTGATTAAACTCTGCGCTGTTCCTAAAGCAACTGAAGGAAGCTGCATAGGATCACAGAACGGCCAGGGTTGGAAGGGACCTCAAAGATCACGAAGCTCCAACCCCCTGCCACACGCAGGGCCACCAACCTCCTCCACATTTCACAGCAGCCCAGGCTGCCCAGGGCCCCATCCAACCTGGTCTTGAACACCTCCAAGGACAGATGGGGCATCACAGCCTCTCTGGGCAGCTGTTCCAGCACCTCACTGCTCTCATAGCAAAGAGCTTCCCCCTGACATCCAACCTCAGTCTTCCCTCCCTCAACTTCAAACCATTTCGCCCTGTCCTGCTGTTATCTCCCCTTTCCAAGAGTTGATTCCCCTCCTGTTTTAGGCTCCCTTTAGGTACTGAAGGCTGCAAGGAGGTCACCCTGCAGCCTTCTTTTCTCCAGGCTGAATGAGCCCAGCTCCCTCAGTCCATCTAAACAGAAGCCAAGGTCACTGGCACTGCACGTAGCAGGGGAACTCCCCACATACCCCCCCCCCCCCCGCCTTCCCACACTCAGTTCAGAAGCCAACCAGGGCTTTGCGTGAAGCCACAGCCGGCCGCTTACCGCTGGGGGCCGCCGGACATCCGCGCTGCTGACTTCCATGGGACCCGAGGGTGTTCCTGCAACGACACAACGGCGAGTGAGGGCCGGCCGTAGCACAGCTCAGCATAGCTCACCACAGCCCGCAGCGAACACCGCACTCACACCCGCACCCCTCTCCTCCCCCCATCCCGCCCATCGGCCCCACGCAGCTCCTCGCCCCCCCTCACCCGCTGCACGCAGCCGCGCCGCCTCCGCACGGATCCTGCTCTGACGGCGGAGCCCGAGGTGACAGCCCCGCTTCGTGAGTCACGCCCATAGCGAACGGCCGAGCTCGGAGAACGCGCCGCGACCCGAACCTCCGGAGCTCCACACAAATGCGGCCGCCCCAACAGCGAACGGAGCGCCGACTGAGACCGGCCGCGAACCTTCCAGAACGTCACTCCCTGCTTACGTAACGGACAGAACTGCGCATGCGCGGGCAGGGCGCCGACTATTTGCACATGCGCACTGCGCGCGATCGCCCGCTTCTCCCCCTCCCTCCTTATACTGCGGCGCATGCGCAGAAGTCCCCGTTTGACGATCTCCCGCACGCTACGCGCCTGCGCACTGTCGGCAGGGAGCAGCAGCTGAGCGCCGCGCCTGCGCACTGAGCGCGTCGGCGGATCGTCGGGCGGCGGCAGCCGTGAGGTGAGCGGCGGCAGGTCTGAGGTGAGCGGCGGCTCCGCGCCTTCCGTGGCGCCGGCCGGGCTGTGGGTCCGGGCCGTTCTCCGCTTGAGGGCGTTGAGGTGCGGCTATCAAAGCTGTGGTGGATTTTTCCAGTGACGGAAATGCGATGTTTTCTTGCGTTCCTCAGAGCGTTGGAAGATGTCCGGCTTCCTGGAGAGCCTGAGGTGCTCGGAGTGCGTGGACTGGGGGGAGAAGCGGAACACCATCGCATCCATCGCCGCCGGAGTGCTGGTGTGTGCGGCTTTTAGCGCCGAGCCCCACGGCAGAGTGCTGGGCATGGAAAGGAAGGCTGCCCGTCACACGGTTATGGGGCACAGGGACCACAGTCCACCCCATAGCCTTCCGCTGCGCTGGGCTGGCTGCTGAGAAACCTCCGGGTGTCAGCAAGGCGTTGGTGCTGCCGTCCCTACTGCAGGCCTTGGGGAGTGTGGGGTGGATGAATGGAGATGGGCTGAGAACTTACAGAGAACTGTCAGAGGGATCTGGACAGGCTGGATGGCTGGGCTGAAGCCAGCGGGATGAGGTTCAACATGTTTAGATGCTGGGTCCTGCGCTTTGGCCACAACAACCCCAGGCAATGCTGCAGGCTTGGGGTAGAGCAGCTGCATAGAGGAAGTGGAGCTGTGGGTGTTGATTGATGCTCGGCTGGATGTGAGCTGGCAGTGTGCCTGAGAAGGCCGATGGCATCTGGGCCTGCATTAGAAATAATGTGCTCAGCAGGAGCAGGGAAGTGATTGTCCCCTTGTACTCTGGTGAGGCTGCACCTCGAGTATTGTGTCCAGTTTTGGGCTCCTCACTGCAAGAAAGACAATGTTCAAAGAAGGGCAGCAAAGCTGGTGAGGGGTCTGGAGCTCAGGCCTTGTGAGGAGCAGCTGAAGGATCTAGAGGTGTTCAGGACCAGGTTGGATGGGGCCATGGGCAGCCTGGTCTCGTGTAACAGTGATAGGATGAGAGAGAATGGCTTCAAGCTGCACGAGGGGAGATTCAGGCTGGATGTTAGGAAATACTACTTCTCTGAAGGAGTGGAATGAGCTGCCCAGGGAGGTGGTGGAGTCACCGACCTGGAGGTGTTCAAGGAGCGTTTGGACGTTGTGTTGAGGGATATGGTTTAGTGGGAGCTATTGGTGATAGGTGAATGATTGGACTGGGTGATCCTGTGGGTCTTCTCCAACCTTGGTAATTCTATGATTCTATGAACTTTCTGGCAGAGCTCAGACCTCAGGTGCTCCCTGGGATCAGTGCTGGGTCTGATCAACATCTTCATCAGTGACTTTAATGAGGGGATAGTGCTGATGGTAAGAGGCTGGGAGGAATGGCTGACACACCTGAAGGCTGTGCTGCCATTCAGGGAGTCTTGGACAGACTGGAGAGCTGGGCAGAGAAAAACTAGATGGGGTTTAAGAATATTGCACCTGGGGAGGTGTCCATGTCTGGAACCCCCAGTGCAAGAAAGGGCTGTTGGAGAGGGTCCAGAGGAGGCCACAAAGATGATCAAAGGGCTGGAGCACCTCCCCAGTGAAGACAGGCTGAGGGAGCTGGGCTCGTTCAGCCTGCAGAAAAAAAGGCTGTGGGGTGACCTCAGTGCAGCCTGCAGTACCTAAAGGGAGCCTAAAACAGGAGGGGAATCAACTCTTGGAAAGGGGAGATAACAGCAGGATGAGGGGAAATGGCTTGAAGTTGAGGGAGGGAAAATTGAGGTTGGATGTCAGGGGGAAGTTCTGTGCTATGAGAGCGGTGAGGGGCTGGAACAGCTGCCCAGAGAGGCTGTGATGCCCCATCCATCCCTGGAGGTGTTCAAGGCCAGGTTGGATGGGGCCCTGGGCAGCCTGGGCTGCTATTGAATGTGGAGGTTGGTGGCCCTGTGTGTAACAGACTCGATGACCTCTAGCGGTCCCTTCGAGGCCCTGCAATTCTGTGATCTCTTGAAGCAGCTGAATCGTGGGGTTTGTGCTTAGCTCGTACCTAACTAAGCTGACAGCAGAGGCAGTCATGCTGTAATCTATGTTTTTTTTGGTCAAAACTTTTCTATCTGTGCTTTAAACTACAGTACTCTCGCTTTTAACAGTTTTTTACAGGTTGGTGGATAATCATAGATGCAGCTGTAAAGTACCCTACCATGGAAGACTTCAACCATTCATATCATGCCTGTGGGGTCATAGCCACCATTGCATTCCTAATGTGAGTGTAACGTCTTGATCAGAGCTGTGCACACCTAGAAATCTGGTGGAATTCAGAATTTTTTTTAAATGTACTCTTTAAATCAGGAGGTAACTGAAAAGAACAAGCCAGGGTCTGAGTTTTGCTAATATAGAATGGTTTAGGTTGGAGGGGTTCTAACAATGACCTAGGTCCAACCCCCCACCATAAGCTGGGACACTTCTGAGCAGGCTGCCTAAAGCCCTGTGCAGTCTGGCCTTGGGAGCTGCCTCTGTGCACCCACAGCTCTGGGCTGCAGTGCTCGGCCTCGTTGCCCACTGAGTGATAACATTTCTTCCTAACGTCTCATTTAAATCTCCTCTTTAGCTTAAAACCATTCCCCTTTATCCTATTCCTGCACTCAGTGAAAGAGGGTTCCTTCCTTTCTTATGATGGGGGCCCCAGAGCTGAATGCAGCACTGCATGTGGTGTAGTGAGAGCAGAGCAGAAGGGGAGAACTCCTCCCTCGAGCTGCTGGTCATGCTTCATTCGATGCAGCCTAGGATCACGTGCCTTGCATCTGTCTGTGGTGAGGAGCCATTAGCAATGGAGTAGCACACAGATCAAAGCATTAAAAGTGGAGAAAAGTGGAGCAGTGCATTGAAGTTTTAGCATCGTTCCACAGTCTGAGCAATAAAATACATCTAAGAAATGCAGTACAGCCTAAATGAGTTTCTGAGAAGTTTCTCCTCCCGTTCTATGAACATTTTCCTTCTTGCTTTATTTATCTTTCCCCTTTTTCATCCTGTTTGTCACATTCAGGATCAACGCAGTGTCTAACGGACAAGTGCGGGGTGACAGCTACAGCGAGGGCTGCCTGGGACAGACAGGTAAGAGGTGTGCAGTCAGCAACCCTTGGAAGAGCTGTGATACTGCACCAGCTGTGCACTGCTTTATAAGTGGGTCACGTCAGGTGCTCTGAAACTGAAGCACCTGGAAAGCTGCTGGTGTCTCACCCAGGGACGGGCACAGAACCTCCTGTGTGTCTTTTTTAAGGTGCTCGGATCTGGCTCTTCATTGGCTTTATGATGGCTTTTGGCTCTCTGATTGCTTCCATGTGGATTCTGTTTGGAGGATACGTCGTTAAAGGTAAAATATGACATGAAGCGTGGCCTGGCCCTGTCTAGTTCTTCCCTATCTGTTTTTTTTTTCTTTTTTCTAACATATGGGGAATTTTAAGATCCCGTTTCTGTTATTTAAGCTCATGTCAGCCTGTTTTGTAGGGCACAAACCTTCCAGTTAGCCTTAGTAGAAACAGAGAGCTGAGTCACACAGGGGACTGCACTGAAATAATTGAACTGCTTACATTATACAGGAAGAATTCTCAGCAAACACCTCTTTCCAGAATTAAGGTGACTCATTTTGTGCAGGTTGTTCCCCAGGCCTATACATTAAGCCAGCAAACTGCTTGTAGAACTGCACACCTTCCTTTACACTGTGGTAATTTTATGAAGACAAGTCTTGAGAAAGTCATACAAACTGCAGCATTCCTCTTGGCAGGGACACATCAGCAGACATGAAGCTGTTGCTCAGCCCTGGCAGTGAATTTCATGCTCATTAGGGCACAGTGGTTGGGTTCTGATTTATGTTCTTTAGTCTTGGCATTACTCAGGTGACAGGGGATTGTCAGGGACACCTGGGCACAATGATTTCATGCCAGTGCTCCGTTCTGTGGCTCATCATCACTGCAAACTGGGTGTGCAATCCCACACGGTAACGACAGCCTGCATGAGCTGAGATCTGAGTGACATCTTTGATTATTGCTTCAGTTCTTTGGAAAGCTGAATAAGTGAGGGGGAGGCACAAAAGCCATTGAAATTACTTTGCAGGGGGGGCAACAGATGGGAGGGAACCATCTTGTCAGAGGATGAAACGGATGCGAAAGATGCAGAGTGCTCTCATAATTCTATGAAAGAACAACCTGTCTGAGGGCAGATCTGTTCTGAGGCAGCAGCTGGACCCTGTTGTGAGATGGGGTCTCTTTGAAGAGAAAAGGACTTGTGAAAAATTCACGGAGCATTTTGTTCTGTTTGCCTTTAGAGAAAACAGTCGTGTACCCAGGAATTGCTGTTTTTTTCCAGAATGCATTCATCTTTTTTGGGTAAGCTTCTCATCCTTTGTTCATTTCTTACCTAATTGGTTTTGAATGATCAAAACCAAAGCTTGCTGCAGTCTGGGTTGTATTTCAGCTCTATTGCTTTGCAGCTAGATGTGGGTGAATACAGTGCAGCTGAGGCACTCGCTGATCTGCCTGCATGGGTTTTGTTGCAGGAGCAGGCCGTGGGTTCACAAATACACAACTTGCTCCCACAAATAACGTATTGAAAACATGATTTGGTGTTTAATCTGCCCCCTGAGGTGCTCACGTGCCTTTCTTGTTTCAAACAGAGGACTGGTCTTCAAATTTGGCCGCACAGAGGACCTGTGGCAGTGAGCCCACGCTGATGGAAGCGCATTGGCCGTGTCACTTTTTTAACTCTGTATTGTGGAAATTTTCTAAAGCCATTTTGTATACGGTGCCCTTCAATGGTGTCTAAAGGTAAAACGTGGAGAAGTGAAATCACAGCACCACAAATCCTGGTTGTATTTTTTTTTTTTTAAAAGGAAAAAACCCTGAAAACAGTTATATTGATTTCAATGTTGTAATGTTTCTGACCTGTAAAACTGCTACAAGTAGCAATGGAAGTCACTTTTGTATGATGTTTGCTATAAGAAAATAGAATAGTGGAAGATTAATGCATTTAACCATTTCACACTTTCTACGATATTTACAACCCAAGTCCTACTTGCTTTACAACCAATTTTTAACATATATTTATTAAGTATTTCCTATATCTGGACAATATAAACAGTTCTTCACTTTCAAATCTGACTGGTTTGTGTTTTTTCCTGCATTAAGCTGTGCTGCTTGGACCCTGTTTTTCCCTGAGTGTTTAACACAATGATGGTGAGGGCAGTGAACAACTCACTGCTGCACAGACACTGCAGAGGCACAGGTTCAAGTTCTGTCCTGGTTCTGGCTGTAAGGAGCTCATCCACAAAGCCTGCTGTAAACTTAATTCCTAACCACAATAAAAGGAAGGAAGAACACTCCTCAGCTGGGAGGTAAACCAGGGACAGGCCCTGCAAGAGAGATTTCTGATCTGTATTCATTTGAACTCTGAGATACAAGAGGAGCTGTTTTGCCCCATCCTCTACGCACAGCTTGGTTACTTGCTCAAGAAATCAGGGAGCAAAGAGATGTGAGAGAAACAGAGGAATGAAATACTATTCCTTACCACCACTCCTGCTGGAAGACAGCAGAAGCACAGAAGGAGTCTTTGTGTCTTTATGTTCAGTGGGTTGCTGGAACGTGAGGAACTGAAGGTCACAAGTTCAGCCTGGATTACAGGGCAGTGATGTGCTAAATGTGTGATAAGGAGGCACATAAAGGTGTAGGCAGCTGTGCTGAATGAACTGTCAGCTGGAAAAAGCTGCATGCAGCTGATAAATAAGTAGATGGCTGGCTGTTTTGTGAAATAAGAAACAGTGACACTTCCTCTACAAGTTACTTGGAACTCTGTCTCAGCTTCCTTTAACGGCAGAACGGCTTTGTTTATTCCCTAATGAACAAATTAGATGTCAGCAGACATTGCAGCGAGCATCAAATACTCCCCTTCTTGTTTTCAGTGTTACAGTTTGCCTCATTCCTTCATTTTTAAGCAAGTGTGATGAGTAAATAAAAACAGCCAAGGTTCCACTTCTTTAATTATGTAAGCAGTTAAAGAAAAAAACATCAACTATTTTGAAATGAAGAAAAAGCTCAGGAGCACCATGCATTTACCAACACGTCTGCACTGCATCCCCTGACTGAGCAGGCCGTGCCTCGTGCACAGAGCCCTGCAGGTAGGAGCACTCTACAAGCAATATCTGCTTCCATTCATTCAAATCAAGGTAAGGCCTTTAGCTGGCAGTGTTTAAGGAATCGTTTCCAGATCTTCCAGGCTGGCCACCCCCCAGCACAAACCCAAGTTCTGCTCATCATTTCTTGCCATCAGATCTTCCAAATCTTGGCTGAGCCACAAGCAGATTTATCTGGTGACACGATTTCAGCCTGGCACAGTGTGGAGTTCTGACTCAGCCATCAAAACAGAGCCTTCAGCAGAACTTCATTGAACTTACAAACAAGAACTTCAGCACTTCACTAGAATAAATGCGTGCTGCACAGATTGGGACTTTTAAACTTCAGAACTAAATACAGCTTTAAAAGCTTCAAGCATTTTAATGGATAAGCCACGACAGCAGCTTTCTGTACACATCCTACAAAAATATTTAAGGTAAAACGATCAAAACAGAAAAGAAAACGTGTTGTAATTCTCCATCTGTGAATATATGTGCTGATTGTTCAGAAATAATGGACGTTTTGTTGCAAATTCTTCACGTGTCCATTGGGAAGGCTTTTGTAAGTGTGCTAATAATGAAGTGCTGTTTCATCGTAGCTACTCATTTTCTCTAATGACAAATACAGATCTTGGTCAAGTTTTCCATTTAGGTTCATCCATTCAAAATCCAACAGCCAGATGAGGAAACTGTGAATACAGACATTCTTGTATCAGAACATTTTATCAATCAACATCAAATCAACGCATGGAGGAGGCGATGCAGAACCTTAATCCATATTCCATGGTTCTTAGAGGATCACATTCAGCACCTAAATGTGCACAAGCTCTGTGTTCATGCACTCAACGCCCAGTGAAGGCCAGGAGTTTTCATAGAAAGAACCTTCCATCCACAGAACTGCCTGGTAAAAATCCTGCTCTTTGACATCCCATTGATGGGATGAGGTTCAACAAGGCCAAATGCCGGGTCCTGCACTTGGGCCACAACAACCCCAGGTGATGCTGCAGGCTTGGGGCGGTGTGGCTGGAGGACGGCGCAGAGGAAATGGACCTGGGGGTATGGATGGATGCTGGGCTGAACAGGAGCCAGCAGTGTGCACAGGTGGCCAAGAAGGCCAATGGCATCCTGGCTTGCATCAGAAACAGCGCTGCAAGCAGGAGCAGAGAGGTGATTGTTCCCCTGTATTCAGCACTGGTGAGGCCGCACCTCGAGTGCTGTGTCCAGTTTTGGGCCCCTCACTGCAAGAAAGATATTGAGGCCCTGGAACGTGTTCAAAGGAGGGCAACAAAGCTGGTGAGGGGTCTGGAACACAGGGCTGATGAGGAGAGGCTGAAGGAGCTGGGAATGTTCAGCCTGGAGAAGAGGAGGCTCAGGGGAGACCTCATTGCTCTCTATGACTGCCTGAAGGGAGGTTGGAGGGAGCTGGGGGTCGGCCTCTGCTCTCGTGTCATCAGTGATAGGAGCAGGGGGAATGGTTTCAAGCTATGGCAGGGGAGATTCAGGCTGGACATGGGGAAGTATTACTGTTCAGAAAGGGTGGTCAGGCACTGGAATGGATGCCCAGGGAGGTGGTGGAGTCACTGAACCTGGGGGTGTTCAAGGAAAGGCTGGATGTTGTGTTGAGGGACGTGGTTCAGTGGGAGCTGTTGGGAACAGGTGAACGGTTGGACTGGATGAGCTTTGAGGTCATTTCCAACCTTGGTGATTCTATGATTCTATGATTCCAAGGGACCATCTATGAAGCACAGGATGTCTGAGCACAGATGTTGTGTGTCACAACAGAGATCACAGCTTTAGCCACCTGCCCACCACCAGCAATGCTATCTGAAGAACATTTCTATTTCACTCAGGCTTCAGACAGCTGAACAAACGGGGCATTGAAATGTACCCTGAAATGGCTGCTGTGTGCACTGCCACGTGGTTAACCTTACACTGAAAGGAAACTTACCTCCCAGTACATCTGGTCTTCAAAATACTTGGAGACAGGGATGGGCTTCAGCAGTTTGAGGTTTAGGATTAAACCTGGTTGTAAAAACACATACATTGGATATACCTCTACACGTGTCATGGAAAGAGGAAGGCTGTGTAACTTCTTGGTAACACATCCAAATGGAACACAGACTAAAACACAACATCAGGACAGAACACTTCAGCAAAGCCCTGTGGCTCAAGTTGACCTTAAGTACAGAGAAGCTTATAGGTAAAAACCCATTAAACAGCCTCCCAGATTCTAAGGATACATGGGAAGTCTTTAACTTCTCACATGAAAGCAGATAGGCTTAGCAGCACTGTTACTTTGGGTTCTCAGTACGTGGAACCACTGGATGATTGTTTTAGTTGATTGTTTTTTAAAGAGCTCATTAGCTCTTACCTACCCTTGAGCTAATGCAAAATTGCAATCGATTAAAGCATTTTATAAGATCGTTTCAGAGTATATTTTACAGCAGCTTTCACCTCAAACCAGAATTAGCAGCTTTAGAACAACTGCAGCTGCCATAAAACCTACAGTGTGTCATGTGAGGAGCACGTGAGCCTTGATGATCCCAAACCCCAGCAACCAAAGGAGCTGGGTCTGCCTCCTGCAAGCTGCTGACGTGAGTGGAAGTCTGCAGATTTGCAGCAACTGGCCTAAAAAATGAGAAGCTCCAGGTAGCATTTTTCTGTCACCAAGACAACATCAAAACATAAATGTACTTTCATCCTCATACATCTCATGTCTGTAATCTGAAGGCAGCTGGTAAACATCTGCAAAATACATTTCACCAATGAAAAAATGTTGCAGGTAGGTTATGTTGACTACATCTCTTCTTCAGAGCCTATCCAGGAAGAGTTCTGGGTGCTCATGCTTCCAGCTGTTTCTCCTACATAAATCCCTATCCACAGCAGCACACGTTAGCACCTCAGTTACACCGGTGTCTTTTTGCAAGGGACACTGACACACAACAGCTGCAATGGGAAGACACAGCCCCTGCCCCCAAGGAAAATGTGGAAGATGTTACTGAAACGTGGTTTTCCTGCTTACCTGTAATCAGACCCGTTATCAGGGCAGCACTGATGGTGAAGCAGAAGGCACCGATGCTCATTGCGACCTCGTGGCCAATGCTGAAAGCAAAACAAGTGTTTCCCCTTTGACAGCTGCTGGCTCTAACGTTCAGCCTGTGGATGTGTCTGCCCCAAGTGGTCCCTGTGCACAGACCTCCTGTCAAAACCTCACATCACAATCACCATTTTCAACCCTTTATGCAGCTGCAGTTGGATGCTTTAAGAGAGCTGAGCAGAAGCCTACAACCAAGTTCTGTTGCACTGTGATTCATTCCTGTGTAAGCTGAGAGAACCAGAGAACTTCTGTGATACAACGTGGGCTTGATTTGATCCATGAAATCCTATGGAGAACCACCCTTCAGTGAGCCCTTTGTGTGATGTTTCCCCAAGCATATTTCCAATTGGGGGTCCAGACTGGTGTTAGCCCTTGCCTGTATGTTAAAGACTTTGGGATAAAATTCATCTTTTTTTCCCTCCCTTGCTGTAACAGTATGCAAAGCTTTCCCAAAACACCTGGCAAGGAGGCATTTTCCCAGCCTTCATCTCCTCTGCACACTGCTCTGAAGATAAAGGACCAAATTTAGGACTGAAACCTAACATGATTTATCTGTGAAGACTTGCAAGCCTTCTGTATTTATGAGAATTCCACTCAGGGCACCCTCCAGTAATGATCAGATAAACTTATTACACCTAAGGGCAAACATTTATGTACCTTGGTGATTTAGTCTGGATTTCCAGCACACAGAAAAGAACTCGGGCAAGGGCTCCAAACACAGCAGGCAAACCAAACGTGAAATGAACCCCAGATGCATCATGAATCTTGAGAGTAGGGTTCAAGCAACTCTGGGAAGAGGGAAAACATGAAGTGATACACAAGAACACAAGCTGATAACTGGACACTGTCTATTTAGAGTTAGGAAATTAACTTTGGACTCTTAACTTGCAATCCCACACCTTGGTCAAGACTTCAGGTTTAATCTTCTCAAAAAAGAGGTTTACCTTGAGGTATGTCACACTGGAAAATAAGTTTACAGAACTTCTACAAAAAGGAATTTCAGGCTTTGAGTGTTACCTGTAAACAGAAAGATCCTAGCATGCTTATCACACCAGCAAGGAGACCCAAAATCATTGCAATCCAGGGATACTCGATAATGTCTGCTGCATAACCAATAGCAACCCCACCAGCCAGTGCTGCACTGTGGATGTGAGTCTGTAAAACAAAGTAGCACAGAGAAAATTCAGTCATTGTTGTGTAACAGCACATTAGGGGATGTGGGCTTCTGCATACTGTAAGCTACCATCAGAGAACACCATTTCTAACTTACAGTTTCTTCTGCTTGGCAGCCTAATGATGACTGCCACGCTGAAAACTCAGATTTGCTTTTATTGAATAGCTATTTTACCCTGCAACGTATTACTGAGAGTAACAACAAGTTTTTCCATACCGTGATTTGTGTCTTACCATCCTGAATTTTCCATCCTTTGTGATCAGACCAGACAACGCAAAGGCAGTTACAGCACTCACTGCGAGTGCTAAGTAGGTGTTAAAGATCAATTTATTCCTTTCTGAAGCCAGTACAGAATTGAAGCTTGGCCAGAACACCCACAGAAAGAGAGTGCCTTGGAGACAAAGACAAGCAATTGTTATTACCTGCTCTCAAACACGGTATATCTACCATAGGCTGTCTCTGGATGCTTCCAACCCACATTTCTGCATTCATTTCAACTTCCTCATTGTGACCAAAGAGTAATTCCTGTCCTCTGCAGTACAGACAGCCTGAGAGCTGGCTGCTGTCCCAACATCTTCCCCAGAAACGTGGTACTGCACACAGCACTGCAGTGTCATACGGACAGCAGATCACGGGCCTGCCTGTATCCTGTTCCCCACCTTTCAGCAGGTTTTTATCTTACCACTCACAGGATTAGGCAGGGACTGCATTTCCATATCACTGTGCAGCACCTTGATGTAGCAAACAGCATTTCAGCCCCAGATAGGGACTCGAAGCACTACTGAAATACAAGTCATAACCTCAGCGCATGGATCCCTGACCAAAACGTCCACACAAGCCCCAAAGAGAGAGGAATTAATAGAGAGAGGGCAGCAGTGAACCTGCACTTATGCCTTCCTCCTGCTCTCACTGCAATCTCTTCTCCCAGCTGAAACATTAAACCAAATGCCTCACCCAACATTGACAGTAAATCCGATTTTGGAGTACTTGCATTCTTCTCAGCCCTCGGTGATGGCTCAGGGAAACGTGAGGAGACAGCCAGACCAAAGTAGGCCCCAAACAGGTGAACGTGCATCATGCATACATGGTATGAAACCTGCATCAGTAGAGCAATTAAATTTGTAACCAATCATGTACCACAGGAAACTTTGACACAGATGCTGATATGGTTCACTCATGCAACCTCCCTGTGAAGAATTTGTCAAAACAGTCACTTGGTTTATAACTTAAGCGTTGGTTTTTAATGCCACGTTAATTTATCTGAGCTCACTGTAGCTCATAACCACACAGTTCATCCACAAAGAGCTCGGAGCACATTTACACTGTGTGTTAAACGCAGCTCTGCCTCTGCTGTGCACAGTGTGCTCGTGTATCAGTCAGTGGAAACAGCAATGTTTCCAAAGGCTCTGTGAAACTTTCCCTCCTGTTTCTGGAAATGATACTGCTGTACCTTCAGGACGTGCATGTTGATCCATCTGCTCATACGGAAAACTATTATCTCCACAACTGTCATCACGATGGATTGCATGGGATTGATCTTCCCAAGAACAGCTCCAATGGAGATGACCACAGCAACCACGCTCATAGCAGCTCCCGTTATTCTGTAATGAAAGGAAGGAAAGAAAAGAAGAAAACAAAATACAATTCCATGTCAGGACCATATTCAGGCAAAGAAGAAAGAACAACTGACAGCAAAATGCACTTAACCCTCCAAAAAGTCTGCAATGACCATGCTGATTCACTGCAGCCAGGCATTACACCGGAATAAAAGCCATCAGAAGCTCCAGTGATTCCAATTCTAACAAGAACTAATTACCTGAACACATCTTCCACTGTTCTTTCTGTTGGGAAAACTGATACATTTTCCATCAGAATGGAGCACTGGACACCAAGCACGATGATCAGGAGGTTGAATCCCACGCTGCTAAACCCGTATCGTTTCAAAAACGTCAGGAAAAAGCCAAATCCAAAAATGAGCATGTGGCTGACATCCTGCAAATCTGCGTGGCAGAAAAGAGCAGAAGGGCAGTGAAGTGATTCCAGCAGACTGGTTTTAAAAAATGACAATTAACTAAGAAATCTTTCTATTAAACACTGGGCACCATTATGAACTAGTTTTAAAGAAACCCAGAGCTTGCTCTCTCTTCCATAAGGAAACAGAAAGACGATACCGTACTCAAAATTGGTTTTACAGTTGTTTCATGTGCTGAGACCTCACCAGAGTTCTGCACTCAGAGCGCTGCCTATCCTCAGAAGTTTCCACTTATACACGTGGAGACAGCAGAAAACAGATGAGCAATGCAATTTGTATCACGTATGACTTTGTTGACTGCCTTTGCTTTCACATAAATAATGACGAAGAATACAAGCAGTGCAGCAGAAGGGCAGCACAAACGTTCTTCTTCTCACTCACCAGTACACAAAACCATCCATCCCAACTCTACTGCAATGCAAAATAAAAATCCTTCCTTTCACGGCAAGGTGAGCAGTCTTACCTGTGTAGTAAAGTAATGCATACTGGTCTGAGAACAGAAAATATATGAGGACGATGAAGACAGCTTCCAGAGAAAGGATCAGCCACGGCACGCTGCATCGGAAGCTGAGGTAAGTAGAAGACATTGTGCACCAGATGATACTTAGGCACAAACACCTTTATACTGTCTTCTATAAACAATGTCTGTGTCACCTCAAACCAACAGTTAAGGAGGGGGAGGGGGAATAAAAGAGAGATAAAAAACCTGAGAGGCATCGGCAACGAACATTCCTTATCTGGTGCACGTCAGCAGCCCAAGCTTAGCTGACATGGACTAAACTCAGAAGTACCCACAAACAGAACCATACCAAACACTTGATGTAATTCTGCAGGATGCCATCCCCACAGTGCTCCAGCTGCTTGGCTCCTCACGTATCAGCTGAACGGCAAGAAAAGCATGCAGACATGCAGACTCACAGCAGTAGGATGCTGAAGCTCACGCAATATCATTATTCCTTCATATTGCTTGTAATCCAGACTGTAATCCAGACCCGAGCCCCTGCACCACTACCTCAGGAAATGCCCAGCTGAGATTCCTGTTGTGTTTTCAGCTGCGTTAGGCTCCAACACAACACCTGCATCCCGCTGAGTAACCCCAGACACACTGCAGCCTTTTAACTGAGAACCAACCTGATCGCTTCAGACCTGACCTGCATTCAGAAACGCATCACCTTCCGTTGCCACACCGTGGCTATGAGGCACCCAACTTGTGGGTTCTCAGCCTTTGGGTTGGCACATGTTTTTTCTTCAAAAAAGCAGCCACCAAAGCGAACATTTGGGGCACACAAGCAGGGCTACATGGCAGAAGCTGTTATGTCCCGTGGAAGATCTGCTTCCAGCTCCTTTTTGGGGGGATTTGATGACCGTGTTGGGAAACTCAGATGTTGCTCAACGTCAGCTGAGCTGCTTTGGAACACCTATAAGGTGCAAACAGAGCTGGAGGACACAGTGACTGCCTGTGCTCCATCTCCCATCTGCAGTACAACCACCTGGGAACCACACTGAGGATTCAGAACTACAGCCACCATTCTGCATGAGTTAAATACGCAAAATCACCCTTTTTTTTTTCCCTTTCTTTCTTTTTTGACATTTGTGACCAAGTCTCCTGGCAGCACGAACACTCTGACGGAACGCGTGCCGAAGGCTGTAATGTCGCCCGTGCCTTTTTGCACAGGACACCCCCGGGATCCTCCAGTCCCGCTGTAAATGCTGATTCTGGGCTTTTTGCCTCAAATCCCCCCATGAACCGAACAGGCTTTAACGCCACAGCAGGGCCGCGCTCCTCAGCCCGGGCCCATCCATCACAGTGCGAACGCTTAGGGCCAGCACGCGGCCCATGCAGAGGGGAAGAAGCCAGGCGCGGTCCGAAGCCCCGCTCGCACTCCGCTTTGCCACGCAGCCCCGCGCGACTACAGCACGAACTGCGGGCGGGGCTGCCGGTGACAAGGCAGGCCTAACCGGAAGGGGCGGAGACAAAGGAAGTTCCGCTCCACCTCTGCTTCCCATTGGCTGAGCGCCCCCACCCACCCACAGGCCCTGCCTTAGGGACGGGTTTCCCATAGGCCGAAAGCTAGCAGCTTTCCTGGGCTCTGATTGGTCCATCTCCAAACACCGTCCGTCTTTGGACCGATCGGAGACAGGACGGCCGCTTTGCCCCGCCCCTTCCTGCCCCGCCATTGGGCCGCTCTCCTGCCACTGCCCTGAATGTGTTTCTTTGCTGCAGTCGCTCCGCTGTTTGCTTTTCGTTGTTTTTTTTTTCTCCCTTCTCTTCCCGAAATCCTGCGAGGCGTCGGGACAAGGCTGCGTTGTTGCGGAAGAACAGCGCACCCCAAGGATTACGATAGTGATTTGTCAGCGAGGTTGTCAATCAAGTATGAGGGGCGGCCCTTCAGAGTTACGGTGACAGAGGAAATTAAGCCCTCCTTTTTCCGCTTCCGAATGGATAGCTGAGCTGTCCTTTGAGTTTTCCTCCTCTCTCCCATTGGGCAGCCTTGCTGTCAATCACAGCACGGGACGGGAACCATCGCAGACGGACAGTAGGCGGGAGGAGAGCAAGAACTGCTTAGCGATTGGTTGAAGAGCCGTCAATTCACAATCCCTGTTCTACGATGGGCTCTCGTGGCCGTCAATCAAGCGCGTGGGCAGACCGTTCGATGACGCGGGGCGGGACCAACCGTACAGCATTCTCATAGGCCTTCTTGGCCGTTCGTCTGCCTTTTTCCGCCGTCAATTGGTCGAGAGAGCCGTCATTCTTGCGTCAGCACCGTTCGATTGGACAGCGTCGGGGAGGGCAGGTCGTTGCGCGGCGGCTGCGCGGGGGGACGCGGCGGGGAGGGACCGACCAGGAATTATTTTTATTTCTTTGTTTCCCGGGGTTATTAAAAAAAAAAAAAAAAAAAAAAAAAAAGAAAAAAAAGAAAAAGAGGAGGGGGGAGAATTAAAAAAAAAAGACAGAAAAAAAAAAACCAAAAAGAAAAACGACGGCAGCCGCGCAGCGCGAGGAACCCGAGGGCCGCATGGTGCTGCCGTGAGCGGGGCGGCGCGGGGCCGGGAGGCGGCGGGAGGATGAAGCGGCGGAGCGCGGACTGCAGCAAGCTGCGGCGGCCGCTCAAGCGGAACCGCATCGCCGAGGGCATCTACGGCAGGTAGCGAACGGCCGGGGGAGGGGAGGGAAAGGAGGAGTAGGGGGGGGGGTAACGCCGGGAGCTCCGCGGCTCCCCGGCCCGGCCGCGCCCCGCCCCCGCCCTGACAGCGGGCCGAGCGACATGGCGACCGCCGCCCCTCAGCCGGACCGCACGTGGGGAGCGGGGAGAGCCGGCGGGCGAGGTGAGGCGAGGCGGGGCTCGGAAAGGAGGGCGCGGTGGGGGGGGGGTCCGGCTGAGCGCAGGTAACGGCGGTGCGGTGATGTACGGGGGGAAATCAGCGCTCGGAAGGAGCGGCGGTGAGCCGGTAGGGCTGGTGGGGGGGGGGGTCACCGGCAGTGGGGGGGTTGGAAAGGAGCGGGTTTGGAACTGAGGGACGCGGTCAGAGCGGTCACAGGGCAGTGGTTGGGCTGCGTGCTCTGCATGGCCCTTCTCCAACCTTGCCGGAGGTCTAACGTCTGTACAAACCGACTTGTGGAAGTTGTCCCGTTTCTGCTTCCAGCCCGGCAGAGGTTTGGCTGTGCTCTGAGTGGAAACCTTGCGCGCTGCAGGTGTTTGCTGTGCAGGAGGATGGGCGGCTGTGGCTGTGACAGGTGTTGGGATTTGCTGCTCTGCTCCTCGTGGATCCCTGCTCGGGAGAAGGGAGCATCTTGTTTTTGGCGTTGAGAAAGCAGCGCTCGGGTCGTTGCGGCGACTGCTTGGAAGTTGTTATGCGGGGTGATTTGTCTTAGTGGAACAGTTTGAGTGTCAGCAGTGGGGATCGCGTGCTGCCCATGGCACAGGGTGGGGAGGGGGAGAGAAAAGGGAGAGCTGGGAAAGGTGTGGAGCAGCACAGAGTGAGTGTGGTTGGGGCAGCATGCAGAGCTGCTGCGTGGGGAGCTGTTGGAGATGCCAGGCTCTTGCAGGAGCTTCTCCTGGAATGTTTTGTATCAGAAATGGGATTTTCAGCCTTTGTTACATGTGGGGTTTTGATGAGCAGAAGTACGGGGTGGCTTTGAGGTGTTGTTCCGCAGGAAGAGGAGCTGGTCTGCAGGCTGGAAATGGGGCCGGGGGCATTTCCCTCCTGGATTTCTTTATTCCTTGTTTATTCTTTTTTCTTCTGTTTTGCTTTTTTTTCCTCACTTTCTGCCCATGATTTACATACAGGAAGCGTCTCTATAACGATAGAATTCCAAATCATTAAAATTACTCTGGTTACTGTAGCTATTTACTCAACTTATCTTAATTGCTGCCATCAGCTTACACAAACCCAGTAAATACAGTTATCAGGAGGCAGCACCGCAGTGATACAAACAGAGCAGCTAGGCTGAGCAAACAGCTTGATGAGCACACTTGAATCTTTGCAGGATTTGTGTTTGCTTTTTAATTGAAGACCAATCTTCCCACCCTTGTGCCAGTCCTTCAGTGCGCTCACAGAGGGGTGAACGCGGCTGCGAGTTGCAGTGCTGAAGAGTTTGGGAGCAGCTGCCCTTCATGCAGCCAACCTTCCCCAGCAAACATGCAGCACCTGCTCTCCCCATCCCTGAAGCTGCTTTTTGCATTTTGGGTGCCATCGTTTCCTGTCCTGCAGAATCCCAAGCTGATATTACGTGCAAAGCACAATGAATTGAGCTCCCTGCAGGTGTTACCTGTGCAAAAAGCCTTGTGATCCTTATAACAGTGCAGGTCTCCAAAGCCACCCAAGGCTTGGTGAGTGGGGCTCAGAAGGTCTCCACAGTTTACATTCAGAACTTTGCTTTATGCCTTTTCAGCTGTTGCCATCGTTTTGCAGTTAGCATCTTCTGTCTTTGGCGCTGCACATCCTTAGGACTTGGGCTGTTCGTTGAGGTGTTCGTGGCAGCTTGTTGTTGTCGAAGCAATTGAAGTTGACTTGTTGCTGCTGGGCTCCCGCTCCTCATCCTTGACCTATTTCACACCCCACTCTTCTGCTGCTGACTCTGTTGTGTGCTCTCCATCGAGTCCCGCTGGTGGCACAGCAGAGGAGGGCCCTTCCCACCACAGCTCCATTCCATTTTGTTGCTGTGTGACCTCTGAGTAAAGCAGCTCCTGCTCACATCTGACCTCAGTTCCCCTCTTTCGGTGTAAAGCTGCTCCCCAAAGAGGAATCCTCCTCCTCCAGCATTTTGCACGTGGGTCAGAAAACTGATTGCCCGGATTTTAGGCATCAGCGGGTGTCAGAACTGCAGGTGTGGGGTCACAGAGCAACGCTGTGCTCTGGGCTGCACATCAGCGCGTGGCACAGAGGGACAATAGAGGCACCAGAGGGAGAAGCAGCGCCGGGAAGGGCTGATACAAAGCGGGGGGAGGGGGGGGGGCTGCTGCCGCCTTTGGGCCTTGGTTTTATTCTCATAATCTCATTTGGGGGGTGGCAGCGTGCCTTTGTGGTCGGGATCTGTGTGCCTTCCTCCCGAGGGTCCCTGCCAGCTGCAGCGCGCTGCAAATGCACCCTTTTTGTGTTTTGCTTTGTTGTTGTTGTTGTGTTTTTTTTCCCTATGTATGAATTTGAACGTAGATATGTTTAAATGCACCCCTTTGGCAGCTCTGGCATCGAAACACCCTTCCCAGTGGCTGCAGTTGAAGGCTTCAGATGCACCTTTAGGTCTTGGCCATGGGGTTCCGTGCTCAGCAGACAATAAGAGAACATCTGCGGTGTGAGGAGGGGGAGGCAGAAACATCTCAGCCCCGAGGATGGGGGAGAGCAGAGCAGGAGAGGAGCACAGCAGCTGTGGCAGCGTCTCTGTTTGCCAGGCTTTGCTTTGTACAAATCCATTGCAGAGCAAAGGGGAGCTTGAGGCCGAGCATCTGGGCAGAGCAGCACGCCTTCATTGCTGCTGGAACAATAAATGCAGCTGAACGTAAGTCAGCTGTGTCACACAAGGCTTGATTTTAATGGAGGGCGACCCGTGGTCTAATTATTTTGTATGAAATCTTCTCTCCTGTATTGCAGTTACCGACAGTTTTTATTCCTGACCTTTTAATTAATTAAAAGCAAGAAGTTCTGAAGTTTGTACCATCGTTTGCTTTTTTTTTAATCAGTCTTTGTATTGGAAACGCTGACTGAGATCACTTTTCTTTTTCCTTTGCAGTACTTTCCTGTACCTGAAGTTCCTGGTGGTGTGGGCACTGGTACTGCTAGCAGACTTTGTCCTGGAGTTCAGGTTTGAGTATCTGTGGCCCTTCTGGCTCTTCATCAGGAGTGTTTACGATTCCTTCAGATACCAGGGCTTGGTGAGTACAGCACGGAGCTGCTGGCCCCCTGTGGGGAAGCCCTGTGAGGCAGCAGGGTAATTTCCACGCTCCACAGTTTATTTCGTGGCCCTGATGCTCACTTCCACAAAAGGAGCTGCCAGGTGGCGAGGTGACTTGTGCTCAGGTCTCTTCCTTCTCACGTTGCCTCTTTAATCTGTGGCAAGTGGAAGCGGAACACATGGCTGTCAAATAGTTCCCTGCAGGCAGATAGCGTTTGAATTCCTGAGATAAGGGGTTTTGTTTAGATCCCCCTCCATCAGAGCTTCCTTTAAGCCCTCGCCTGTTTAAACATTTACCACCTGGGGAGAGTTCAGTGACGCTGCTGGTTTTTATTTGTAGTCCAATCTTAATGATGGCACTGCATCAGCACTGTGTGTCAGCCATCTTCAAACAAAACAAGGCGTAAATGCAGCAGCTTGGGGACTTGCAGGAGGGGTGGCTGGGGCACAGATATCCTCAGGCTGTACATTGGCTCATGAACAGATCTGTCCTGCCATCAGCCAGGCTGCTCTGTTTGCTTGGGCTGGGTGATCTTAGTGATCTCTCCCAGCCCAAA